ATATATATATATATATATATATATATATAAATGTATGTAGAAGTTTAGCTGCAGTAGGCTGGAAAGAAACATGAATGTACTATTCTAATAAGTTCTAAATTCTGTTTCAATGTATATTGGCTCTCACGGTACTGGGCAACTGAATTCATTGGAGATACTGATCAAATGTGGAAAAAGATAAATTTTGATAGACGTGTTAATTATCGAAAAAAAAAAAATGGTGGCTACAAGTAGAAAACCAGGTTGACTGATAAAGGACATAAGGGATAAAATTAAAGAAATGCCTTATAAGTCTGAGAAGCTTAAAACCAACTGCTGTGATGGGAGATTTAAAGTATCATAGAGTTGGTCTAATAAGAAATTAGGAAATCAAAAAGAATGTGTGAAAAAAATGTTGACTGAAATTTCTAAAAATTAATAGTAAAGATTTATTTAAATGCATTAAGAGTAAACACAATGTTAGAATGGGAGTAGGGCCTTTGAAGGATGACATCAGGAGGCTTGTATTTAATTATTATGGGATACGTAGGTTATTAAAATCTAATTTTTCTTCAGTTTTTACTAGTGAAGATTTAGCAATATTCCTCATCGTGAAGAGTTGGTAAATGGAAACGAGATCAGACAGGGTGATCAAATTAATTCTTAGCTGGTAAGGACAAATTGGGAAGTTTAAAGAATAATAAAGCTCCTGGGCCAGATAATATTTACTCATGGGTTTTGGAGGAGGTTAAAGATTGGATACGTTAGCCAATTTTTCTATTTTTTTGTAAGATTTTAAATAGTAAGCAGGTGCTAGAGGATTGGAAATTGGCTAATGTTGCTCCTCTTTTCAACGTAGGTGATAAAAATTGTCCCAGTAATTATAGGCTTATTAGTCTTACATCAGTTGTGGAAAATAATTTTGAAAGTATGATAAAAGATGCTTTACAAATTAATACAACACATTTTTAAACAAAGTCATTGGGTTTCTTATTTTATGAGCCAGTGGTCTATCATCGAAAGGCAAACAAGTCATTGAGTTTTTTATTTTGGGAGTCAACTAATTTTTGATTCTGTATCCTTTTTTTATCTTTGTGAGTGTTAAATGTTTGTTAATGATTTGTGTTGTCAAAATAATGAAAGTGTTATATGTATATTGGTGCTTTGTGTTATCAGATTAACTCTCTTAGCATGGGCTCAGTCCCTGGGACTTACCTCATAACCATTTTCTGCTTGTTATAGTTTTCATGCTATAACTTTTAAATTAGTAAGCAAATGTTAACGAAATTTGGCAGATTATCAGTAAACATTACAATGCTTTCATATGCAAAATATCAAATTGTTTTATTAAGTCTTAAGGTTTGTTAAGCAATGTTTTTTTCATGCCTTTTTCTTTCTTTTCACATGTTGCCTATCCAACATGCAAAGCAATTTTCATTTTAAGATTAAGAATACTTTTATGCATCAAAACATTTTCAAATTTCATATGAAAAATCTTTATAATGTCCAGATCATTATCAATTGTTTCTTAAGAAAAAAAGCTTTATATTTTATCTGTTATTTTAACTAAAGAATCCCTGTATGGGTTTGGTAGATTTGACTGATCTTATAAGTACCATAAAAAAATTAGGAAATAAATATAAGTTATGCCTCTTTCATTCTAGAATGACAACAAATTATAACATGAAAACATAAATGTTAGACTAAATAACTTAAATCTCATAACATTATACATTTATATATATATTTATTGTTTTTATCATATTGACCTTTCATATGTGCTTTCGTGGTACCATATCAAATATTATAAAACTGATCTTTAGTCTTCACAAAGTGACCTATCTTGACTGTGTTTTAGTAGACTAGTATTTTGTGAAATATTCATACTTCCATTATTATACATTATATATGTATATAGATTATTACTATATAGAAATATCTTCTTAAACTTATTTTTCTTAAAACAGTAAATAAAGAAATAAAGCAAACAATTATCTCTTCTAGTTACGACCTTTGTACTTGGTTGTGCTTAACGTAGGTTGCTAAGCCTTTTAAAATTTTGCATGTGGAGGATATGAAATGAAATAATTTTTTTAGGTTTTACATGTATAGTTGAATAACTAAAAAATCATAAATTACTATATCAATGCCATAGAATTTTACTATAATTTACCAAGCTTCATAACTAAGCTGTAGTTTGGTAAAAAAAAAATGAAATGTCGAGCAAACTAAAGACAATCTACCTCCTTGAAATCTTGGTTCAAAAAAACGAGATGGTGTCCTAACACATGAAATTGGCTGAGAAAGCCACTAGGGGACATTCAGAGCTTTCGATTGGTTATTCACATTTGTAAGTATATATAAGGGACCGTTTCAAAAATGGAAAGAAGTGAGCAAGGCCACTGTGTTTCATTCATTACATGAGTGATATATCACCAAAGAGAAAAGATAAAGAGGTTCTTATATTATATTCTAGCTTGTCAATATTGGGAATTTGATTTTGTAATTCGTACGAAACTATAGACTTAGTATTTTGACATCACAAACATATAATTTGAACCAGTGCTGAATTCAACACACCACGTGACACACAAAAATCGATGTTTAGTTGTCTTTTTTTTAATATTTACTTTTAAATTAAGAAATTAACTAATGTACAACACAAAAATTTAAATTATAATCTACAGTTTGATACCAGACTTATTGACATAAATTCATGAAATAGTAGTTCATTAAAACTTTCAATGTGAGTCAATAAATCCAATGACATGGCCTTTGACCCATGACCCATCTGGAGAGGATTAATGAGTGTTAAATGTTTACTGTTGATTGGTATTATAATAATGCAAGTATCAAATAGCTGCCGTTGATTGGGATCATTATAATAATGCAAATGTGTCATATCTGCTGTTGATTGGATCAGTAGAATAATACATTCATGATGTTATGAAAATACTTAGGTTCAAAAAATCAATTAAAACAAAAATATGAAACCCTATAACCCAAGTACTTCAGAATAATACAAATGTTGCACATTTGTACTGATGAAAATGTCACATACACTATCTATTGTTTTATTGTTGATTAGTTTCATCTGGAGATGAAGTGACAGATGGTGGATCAGAATCAGACTTGGAAGATAATGATGACTTGGATGATGACATAATTTATGGTAAACCTTACAAGTGGAAGATGAGAGAAGCCAACCCCAAGCTTCCTGAAACTGTGACAATTCTAGAGACGACTGAAGGCTGTAAAGTTTACTTAGTAGGAACAGCACACTTCAGTGAGGAAAGTCAGAATGATGTATCTAAGGTATGGTGTGTAACAGGTTTTAATGAATCCTTCTTATATTTTCTCTTAAGTATTCATAATAACAATAATAGTAATAAATTTTGTTTTTTAAATTTTTATATAAACTAAAGGTTTAATAAATGAAAGCTGTAACTTCATTAACTGGGTTGTGTTTACTTCACAGAAAATAAATTAATTTCAGGGTTTAGTAGGAGAAGAAAAGACATATTTTGCTATTGAGCAGAACATTAATGAGGTCAAATATAAACTTCTTACATACAAAATTATTTTTATTTTGACTTTTTAAAATGAAATTCTATACGTATGTGAACAACACAAAAGGACAAAAACCCATTATTTCAGAAAGGCCCGAGGCAAACAAAGTAAAAATATTCCACAACTTTTTGTGTAAGTTATGTAGCTGAGTTTGTTCATTTTGCTGTAGGTAGCTGCAAAGACAAGCTGCTGGATTTGTATGCTGTTGCTTTTCTGTTCACGGTTCTGCATATGACGATAAGGATCTTTCAGTACTTGAGTTAGTGGTATGGCACAGCAAGACATCTGGAATTAATAAACTGCACTCATTTTTCATAAAACCCAATACAAAATCAGAACATGATGTGATCAGAGTGAAAGGTTTATTCACCTCCATCATTGGAGAACATAATCTTCCTTTGGTGGTTTCAGGCCATGCTCTAGAACCAAAACTTTGGCAATAGTTTGAGAAATGGCCAGCAGTGCAACTAAGTGAATTGTGAATAACATTAAAACTAGAGCTTTCAACTTTTCCTCTGATGGCAGTAATGACATTGACAGTATACTGTACCCTATTGTAGTGACATACTTTAATAAAAACAAGGAAAAGGTTGTAAATGCATTACTTTCTAATCCAAATATAATTGGAAAATCAACTAGTGAGAATATTGCAGGACTCCTTTAAAAAAAACTAGCCTCAGAGTCCTTAAAGTGGAAAAATTGTATATCATTAGCTGTTGAGAACACAAATATGGTGATAGGGAGAAAAAAAAAGGAGTTGCAGTTTATCTTCTGTAACTTAACCCTGAAATGGTGCTTAGGGAATGCCCATGTCACCTTCTTCACTTGGCAGCAAAGAAGTTGCAATATCAGTTTAGTGAAATTCTTTTTGACATTTATTACTATTTGGACAAGAGTGCAAATAGGAAACAAGAACTTAGAGAATTCCAGAATCTATGTGATGTGGAGACTCAAACTATTCTGAAGCATGTGCACACACTGGCTATTATTTGCTTACAGAGGTTAACTGAGCAGTGGAGACCTTTGAAGCAATACTTTGCAGGAAAACATGATTAAAACAAAAAATCCATGTGAAGGCAAAGCATGTTTCATGCAGATCAGAGGTATCAGTGGAGAAAGATTGTGATTGTTTAGAAAAATACAAAGAAAACTTCCAAGCAGAGGCAGTCTGTCGGTGTGTTTCCTGGGCAGCGGTCTGGATCTTTTATGGATGGTTTCTCAAAAAAAAGTAGCAGACAAAACTGCAAAGCCAAGTGAGAAGGTACAGGACACACCTGACACAAAATCACCAGGAAACACTTATTTGTGAGAGGAAAGACTTTACAAGTAACTTACATCAAGGAGATGTGTTGTGTATGTATTATTTCTGAACAATTGTATTCAAATCTTTGACAAGTATAATTACAGTGTGAGGACCACCCACTCATCCATTGCTTGCAGAAAATCCTGTTTGCTCTATTCAAGGATTTGTTGAGCAGACTTGTGACACCACATGCAATTTCCATTTGTTGAAATATTTTGGATTTGAATTTCAAAGACAGAAAACTTCAGTTAAAAATTGTAATTGGTAATGAAGTTGAGCATTTCCTTGCAAAGATTGACAAAGGAAGCCAACTGTCTTTCTGTGAAGATGTAAGAAATTACTATGAAATTGTATTGGAATACATGAAAGCCAACTTCCTACCCAGGAACAACTTTGAAACATGCAGAAGTAGCAGACATATTTGTCAGAAAAAGTTCTTTGAAATTGGTAGATCACTTAGTTGGAAAATTCAAGCCATTCATTGCAGTGGATGCACCTTGGGCCAGTACAATAAACTGTCTTCAGCAGCAACTTTTCACTTATCAGACTGATCCATTGACTTGTGTTGATCTCATTGAGCCAGCAAACAAGTGTTGGTATAGTATTGATAAACTGAAAGATGAGCTGGGCAGCTTTAAATATAATAAACTTTCTGTAGTAATGATGTCTATCCTTGTAATACCACACAGAAATGGAGGTTGTGAGAGGGTTTCCTCACTTGTTCACATAAACAGGACAGACTTTCAAAGATCAGTGTCAAACTCTCCTTTAGAATCAGTGCTGATAAGGAAGATGGAGATAGTACAAAAATCATGTTTCTCACAGGAATTTACAGACAATTTCCTAAAGGAAGCCAAAGAGTGCTACGTACAGGGCTCTTAATTAGTACACTGTAATTAGTAAATATTAAATAAAACATGATTAGCAGCGACACCATTTTTGTTTACATTTTTACTCTCTTTCAAAATTTAATGTTGGCAGGTCTGTTAAGATAATTAATAACAATATTTGTTATATCCATTATAACAATATTTGTTATAAAATGTTCTGTGTTGCCCTGCTAGAGTTGGACTGGCATACTAAGACAGCTAATTGTAATATATCTGAGATTCAGAAGTCATTGTGCATTGCTTTGCCAGAACTGGATATAATTCTTTTCATTGATACCAAATTGATGTCAAATACATAGCATCTGAATTTTGCTTTTACTCAAACACTATCTTTGAAAAGCCATATGCTGTACAGATGCCTTCTTAAAGTGTAGCAAGCCTTGATGGTTTGAACATTCGGACATCTTGGAAAATTTTGCAGCTAATTTGCTCCATGTAATTACACAGCTTTTTTAGTGCAGCTTATCAGGATTTTGGTAGCTAGATGATATAAGGAAGTTTCATACATACTGTAAAATGCATGGTGGCCATGAAAATATTACAGTTGGATTATTAAGTATGTGGTTGTATTCCTTGTTACTTTATATTTGGGCCAGAAAATATGCTGCCTTTCACTTTCCAAGGTAACCTTATGTAGAGTTAAATATTTTTTTTTTTCAAAATAAAATCACTGTATCTAATGTGATGCATACTTTAAACATATTTATTCATAATTTGCAAAATATATTTGTAGTACAAAGCTAAGTATATGTAAATCTATAATTCAATGTTTCATTGTCTTGTCATCAAACCTCATTATAAGTATAAAACAAACTTGTTTCATTCAATATTATGCTATATAAAATTGCTTCATCCTAATATTTCTTTGTTGGGTCTTTAAATTTATTTAAAAGTGATAAATATATTTAAGTTTGTTTTATAATATAGGGTTTAGTATGTTATATTAAAATGATTTTGAGTATGCATTTTGTACTTAATGGCATTGGAAAACAAAGGGATATGGATCAACTTGGGGCACCAGGACCATCCATAAACAGTTTTGCAACAAGTCCCCAATCATAGTAAGCAAAGTGTAGCATTTTATAACAGTTGAGAATCCGTGAACACGATCCGTGAACAAAGATCAGTGGCAAAAGCCATCCACATGCCCCAGGCAACAGTATTTAATGAAGAAAGGTATTTGTTTGGAAAAGTGACACAAGTTGTTTCCATGACATATTGGTTCAAGTGTAGCATACCTCAGTTAGAGAATGAAGCATGTATTCATGATGTTCCATCTGAAGACATAATGATAAAATATTTAGATGCAGTGCCTGTGGATTCCTTTGTGATCAGACTATTGAAAATTGTACTGGGAAACCATCATCCTTGTACACCAGATTGATTATGATGAACTCTGTTGCAATGGAAACTGCATTACAGCTGTATTGTCAAGATGTATGGTTGTAAAATAAAACATGACTGGATGTGGGAATGTGGACTGCAACAACTTGATAAGGTTCCAAAATCATTTTAACATAATCCCTGTATTTCAATTTTCAATATTTGGTATCTAAGATGAACAGTTTATGTGTTATTTATTATAAATATGTACACCATTGCTACATAAGCTGTATTGGCTGTATTTCAGACAATTACTGCCACACAGCCAGACATAGTAATGGTTGAATTGTGCAGAAGAAGAGCTAATATTTTGGCATTAGATGAAAAAACAATATTAGAAGAGTCTCGAAACATGAATCTTGAAAAGGTTAGAGATGCCATCAAACAGGTAAATGATACTATTTTATTATAATATTATGTTCATTGTACGTTTAATACTTGGCATACACCATCTATGTAAGTGTTACACGTAGAAGTGTGTGTATCCAGTTTTTGGAAGGATTTCAGGTTTCTAACTTTGAAAGATATTTATCTTCATGGACTAGTACTATCTCCATAGTACACTACCCATTATTAAAATTTACATCATCTTAGCTGTAGAGAACAAAGCATAACATAAGTCTATTTTAGTAAGAAATTGGACTTTATTGTGATTGGGAGTATAATACACTTAGTATAATAGTTGGTATTGAAGTATTATCTCATTGAAAATATTTGGCACCACTTTCAAGTCAATGGGGGAACAGAAAGAAGATGGTGGACAACAATAGCTGTGATGTGAATACCTTTTACAAGTTGGCAAAGCATGATTATAGTTAAACATACTTGTCCTAAGACATTAGTATTAGGCCTATTATATTCTTTAAAACTATGTTCTTTATCTAGTTCCGTAGGAATTTTCAAGAATAAGTAGTGTGTATAAGAATAACATTCATTATATCTAGAGCTCTTCAGGCTGACTGAGATACAACAAACCCAGTAGTGTTCAGAGTAGTATTTATATAAACTGTTTGTTACGGCAACAATTGTTAGGGTGTGAAAGCTTGTTATAACACATTAATAATCTAGGCATATTGTTTTTATAAATACTACATTCTTTTTCTAGTTCGTTGGGGTATTTCAATAATTAGAACAGTGTATGATAATAGTTTTTCACCCACACTATGGTTGGACACATGTAGTTAAAGGAGCTATCAACATTTTCTTTTAGAGGTCAAAGAATATCACTGAGCACAGTAGTGTTTGTATGCAGAGATGGCCTGAAAAAAAAATGGCTGACACTTATTATGTATTGCTTATCATAGTCTCAGATCTTTTATAACTATCTAGGAGACTTTTATAAACACCTAACATAGGTTTTTGATGTTTTCAAAACCTTTTAAGACCTTCAGGTTAGCCAAAAAAAATGTCACTAAAGTAGAAAACCAGCAAGTAGCATATTCTCCTGATTATTCTGATTCTGGCATCATAAGGACTAGGTCACCAATCTTCAAGTTGTGGCAACGATTTACATACCAAAATGTTGCATTTTAATTTGGGGAGGGCACAAGCAGTATAGAATGTAACTAACTTCAACACATGATGTCCATCAAGACAACTCATCATGCCAGGCTAAAACTGCTGCCGTCATAGCAACTGCCATTCATTATAAAATATTCATCGGTATTGTTTAAAGAAAGAAGGGAAACAAACAAAAATATTTTGATGTAGAGAAGGCAATGGCCGAAAAGTAAAGAAACAAGGTAGAGATGAATACATAAAACCACACAATAATCCCTACATAAGTAGCCATTGTAAGACTATAACATTACTCAGTTTAAATGCTTTTATTCGTGCAAATGAAAGGAATTCAACATTCATTTGTAGATAGTTTTTCTAGGAAAAATTTGGCTATGCATGTAGGGATTTTTGCCTACCTTTATTCTGTACTTTTTGGTATTCCCGTTCCTATATCATCCTTATTTTTTAATTTTTTTTTTTTTACTTGTTAAATATTAATTTGCTCTAACTTTTTGATTAAAGAAATCTTACTTTGAGTCATGGGCACATCCAGGTTATTTCCTTTTTTAAGGACCAGGCTTAGCTTCAATACATAAAGTCTTGTACAAGCATTTGATAAACAAATACCATAATCTTTATATTACATATTAAAATTCTTAGTTTTAAAGTTATCGTATAATACAATATAATTTTATTATTGATTTATTTCTTAACATTACTTTCCATTTCCTTGTGGTGTTAAAATTGAAATATATTTTAGATTTTATGTATTACCAACTGAATGTAGACAAGTGTAATTTTTAACAAAGTTAGTTTGTAATACCTATTTACTGTTATGATGATGTGCAAGTCATCTGTTACTGTGGCTTTTAACTTTTAGAGCAGTCAAGTAATCCTGCAGTGTGAAGTCATTTTAGCAAAAAAAAAGTTTCACAAGGTCAGTAGTTTAAAACCAAGTAAAATTTATAACCCTGCTGCTGGATACAAATATATAGAGTGAGTTTTATATCATTTAATGTATAAACTTTAACCAAGTGCAGAACATTTATCAATGAATCTAAAAAGATGGATAGTTGTTATGGGATCAAAGGCATGGGGAGTATGACCAGAAGCTGATTAGTGATCCTGTCAGCTCCAAGACAGATTGGTCTTGATCATCTTCAACTTGCTGAATCCTCTCTCTGCCTCAGCAAAGCTGGCTAGTACAGACAGCGGTAGGTCAAAGAAGCTGTTAACTTAACTCCAGGGATGATAGCAGCCCATGGCTAGCCTTTCTTACTATGCCTGGTGAAATAAAGTAACAAAATATATGTGGAAAATGTATCAGAGAATTGCATTATTATTCCTATTTTTAAATCATTATTTTGTGTTCATTTAAAGTTATACTATGCAGTGCTTTCCCGATAATCAGTTTGAAAATCAGAATTGTGCCAATATTTGTATGTCTGCTTACAATCACAAACCTGTACTTTTCCTTTCGACCCAAACATTATTCACCATAGAATTACATACAGTCAGTTAAACAATTTCTGTCTGTTTCTCATTTATTTGCATAAGATGGTACACTGAACAAAAGAAAGGTTGAAAAACAATGCTCCAAACATTGTGAAGCACACCCATTTCTTTATGGACTGTACATTAGCAAATGATCAAAAACAGCACCCTATGCCCAAAGCTAATACATACTGTGTGCTTGCTGTAAATGTACACGGACTTTTTCCACAAAGTTCTCAGAGTCATACGCGATGTGGCTCACGTTAGTATTAGCTCATTGTTTGGGGAAGTCGTGGAAGAGAGCAATTTGAAATTGGAATGCCTCATACTTTCCAGTTGGGGGGGTTTCTCAGTTTCTTGAATTAGGCATGTCACAGTTGGAGTTGTCACCATAAGTTGAAAGTGGTAAACAAGTATATACAAATATTTACAAAATAACTAACCAATTGGACAGCTACGGAACATTCCATTTCATTATGTGATAGTCCTGTTAATTATGAATATGCATAGTTCCAACAAGTTACCTGAAAGTTAGTTGTGGCTCGACAAATGTGATTGCAGATTGGTTGGATTGCTTCTGAATGAGAAAAAGTAGATATTTTGGGTTTTTTTTAGTAGAAAGCTAATGATTGAAAAACAAGGATCACGAAGGTGGGTAATTGTTGTAACTAACTGCCCCTTGCACCTGTAACTAAAAGGGGAGTGTATACATCTTTATCAACAGTAAAAGCTAATATTTCTTGATTTTAGACAAATGTCTGAAGTGACAGAATGTAAGTGGTGAGATTTGAAACACATTCGAGGAAAGCAAGGAGATGATAAATTTTAAATAATTCAACCAGCGTGATGCAAGTCTTCTTTATCATAATGCATTTAAAGTTGTCATTTCTTTTTCTTTTATTAAGGATGGAAAGTTGATCATTACATACGAAATAAAGATACAGTTTGGAGCATTTTTTAATATGGACAACTTTTAAAAAATCTTTTGGCAACCAATTTGAAGATTCCTCTCATTATGAATGAAACTTTCAAATAATGTTATTTTATTTGACCTTTGGTTGGAATATTTCATCTGTTTTAGAAAGTGATTTAGTTCAAAATGTGTAGAGTGATAGGAAAAGTCTTCGAACTTATGGCTGAAGGGAATGATGAACTTAGGCAAGGAACGTCAAAAACTTGTTTGTCTCTCACAATGGTCACATAATGTTATGTATCGATCATGTACTAGCCACAAGGTCAGTCCCCATTTTTATTTTACGCTAATTCAAATAAAAAACGAAAAAGAGATTGTTAATTTTCTTTCATGGCACATTTATCGATAACTTCATCCATCATCAACTTACTGTACGTAATCGGAATTGGACCGATTGTGTGCTATAATAATCAGCAGTCTGTGATTTCCAATTGTGATATGATTGGTTAAACAGTAATATTATGTTTTTTTATTTTTGGCTAGTGCAATCTGCAAAGTTGGAGTCAAAAGTGTTTGTCCTAACGTGCACAAAGAATGTACATTCAGTAAGGTAGATTCTCTAAACAACTTACAAGTTTGCAATTTTTACTTGCCTGTTTTTGGAAAGTGTTGACAAAAAAAGAACTTGTATGTACATCTTTAAAATGTGTGAACCTTGATGCAGACTTGGTGTCATATATAAAAAGTTGAAAACAGTAGTCATCTTTATAAAAGTTCAAATAATCACTCCATATTTCAAATTTTATATATCAATTCCATTATACTGACACAAAAAGTTTAAATATGATGACATTCTTAATAATGAAAGTGCATTTACTTTGAATACAGAGGCATTTATAGTGATTATGTTTGTGTATTGTACATGAGTAATGTGGGTTCATGACTTTGGGAAGGTCCATTCATGGTTTATCATATGTTCTGCTAAATTAAGAAACACTTAGATCTATTTATATGAATTGATTATGTAATTGATTGTTAGTGACCCAACTTTATTCCTGAATCATGGATAGATCTCACAATAGATATTTGCATATTTATGTATGTGGTGAACCAGACAAATGTTAGGCAGCCAATCAGAACAGGTTACTGCGAATTGGTTTCGTGTGTCTTAGAAGTGTTATTAGCAGAATGTGAAATTACTTCCTAACCAATGGTTCAGAGATCTGAATAAGGCTGACCGTCTATGACACAAGCAGAAGTGACTGCTATCTTTTGATTGTTGCTTAGCTGAATCACAGGAGTAGAGACTAAGATTGAATCAGATATTCACATCTGCAACTGGAGCTATTAGTACATAGTTAGATAAAAACAACAAGCCAACTTGTATGTTAGATAATCAATGAGATCCAATTAGCAACATGTAAAACATATATAGTTAGGTATAAACAACAGGCCAACCTATATGTTAGACGATCAATTAGATCCAATTAGCAACATGTAAAACATATATAGTTAAGATATAAACAACAGGCCAACTTGTATGTTAGATAATCAATGAGATCCAATTAGCAACATGTAAAACATATATAGTTAGATATAAACAACAGGCCAACTTGTATATTAGATAATCAATGAGATACAATTAGCAAAGTGTAAAACATGTATAGCTAGACAAAAACAACAGCAGCATGTAAAACAGCTTGCCTGCGATGTCTAGAACATGTCCAGCGAGGAACGGTATTTATGTTCACAGACGAGCCTCACTTCACTCCATAAAACAGGCTTGTAATCATTTAAAAGAACTTAGAACTAGACCTACCCAATTATTGTACACAAATATGATGCATGTGGTGCTGATAAGACTATGACATGAGCTAACTTTTACACTCTGGAATGCCATACATGATAAGTGTCATGTATTTTGAACCTTTGTGCTGTTCTAATTGGTCCTGACTTCAACCTGATGAGAGATAATGTCCTTCTTTATCATGTTCACCAGATTTCAATCCTTTCAAATTTGTCTGAGATGTTCATGGGAGATCCATGATTTTAGACAGTAAAATATACCAAAAACAATCATCATCAGAAGATACTTGATAACTCAGAATTTCATCAGCACCATGCAGCATTAGTGGAAGGCTACACTTGCTATTCATAATGACCATATTCCATATTAAATTAAAATGGCATAAACATGTGTTAAAAAAATGTGCTAAATATTCATTTATGAGAGTAGGCTGGGTGACCAGTAATTTACATTTCAGATCAAATAACTGATCATCAGATTCCTGATTTGCATGGGTTATTTAAAGGAGTGAATAGTAGTATAACGGTTTTGAGAACTGTTAATATTTAATTCATTTACAATTGTTTAACGTAACTTGTTCTTTAGCAATACAATATACAGGAAAAAAAAACTTGTCAAACAGTGGTGCAACTGATGAGGAGGTTACATTTTATTCTAGATTTTCAGAGGTTTTGGAAGTATTTCTAGTGGCCTGAAATCATCACCATCAGTATAAATTGTGAACTGTTTTTAATGCTTTAATATATACAATAACATAAACAATGATTTATACTGGAAACAGTTTACAAACAAAAGGATAAAAATATGATGTTATACAGATTTTTTCATTGTTTGCAATTTTTCAACAGTTTTGGTGTGGCTGCACTCTTGTACTCAAAAGAGTTGTGTGAAAATATATAACACATTGACCCTTGCTATAATATTAGATAAGGAATTGGCATAGAAATAAAAAAAATTCAAAACTATCAACTATGGGTAATTATAAAACCTTATGGTTAAATTGCTAGATATCTACCTACTCTTGAAGTATTTTCCATGTTTTCTTGCATCTTTGAAAATATTTTTAGAACATTACAATTACCAGACATAATATATTTTATACTATTATATAAAGGAAATAAATTTAGGTTTTATTTTTCAAAAATGAAAGGTTGACAACAAATCAGGTTGTTTTTCCTGTTAGTAGAGCTCTAAAAAATGTTATCTCTTGCTAAAGTGTATGTTAATTTTTAAAAGTTGTTTCAGTTAGCTTTACTCTTTAAAAATCAACAAATTCAATGTTTATGGTCTGTACTGTTTTGTAGGATGGATTTTCATTGATGTAAACTGTATTGTTGTTCTAGAATGGATTAGTGCAAGGTGTGATGTATCTTCTACTCTTAAGTATGTCAGCACACCTGACCAAACAACTAGGGATGGCACCTGGTGGAGAATTCCGCAGAGCATTTGCTGAGGTAAATATTCCTGACTTCATTTCTAAATTAAGTTTGATTGCAACTATCTGTTTATCTACATTACAACATTACATTCCAAAAAAAAAGAAAAAGATATTTCAAGGTATGTAAAAATGTATAATGTAATTATTTTTATAAAAGATGAATAAAATACAGTTTTTTGGGAAAAAATTAAACACTTCAGTAAGCACTTTCTTGTTTCCTTTACAGAAACGTAAATTTGATTAGTATTTAGTATTATGTGAGATTTTAACATTTGGTGCTTTAAAGAAGAGTAGACGTTGATTTTCCAGATCACTCAATTGTAATATCATATGTTGCATTGTAACATATTATATAAAATCTTGCACTAAGCATGATCACATATAAGTACCTCTGGATGAGTGTAAACTGTCAGGCTTGATCACATATAAGTACCTCTGGATGAGTGTAAACTGTCAGGCTTGATCAAATATAAGTATCTCTGGATGAGCGAAAAGCATCAGGCAAGGTCACATATAAGTACCTCTGGATGAGTGTAAACCGTCAGGCATGATCACATATAAGTACCTCTGGATGAGCGTAAACCGTCAGACTTGATCACACATAAGTACCTCTGGATGAGCGTACAGCATGATCACATATAACTGTGCTCAGAGTCTGTTCATTGAACTGACTTCATGTTGGAGTAGTAGTGTTGACTATATTTACAGTGTATTTTCACAAATGTGGCAGGCTTTTAGTCAACAGTACTAGTTTGTTGCACACAACGAATCAGATGTGTTACTAAAGTTTTTGTACTAAAGATATGTCTGTGAAATGCCTAAATTAGTTTGGCTCAGACTTTGACAAATCAAAATGAAAGGTGATGTTCGTATGAAAGTAAAGATACTTTTTTCTATCATACAGTTTGCAAGTTGTATTTACATAGCCTCTTCAACCTCTTAAATGCATGTCTACAGTTTTTATCAGTATTTCTGTGTATTTTATCTGATATTTTCTCTACTCTAACATGAACTGTTGCAAAACCAGCATTGTAAGGTAACATGAAAAGTTAATAACTCTGACATCAAGTGCATAATACTATGTTGGATGGCACTCTGTACAAGGTCAGGGCATGCATATTTTGATCTACACACTTGCTCCGAGTAATAAAACACCCTACATTTTTGATTTTGCAATAGTTTATGTTAGAGTAGAAAAAATTTCAGAAAATGTGTATATAAAATACCTTCACATGTGCATTTATAGTGGCTATGTAACTGCAAGTTGTAGACTGTGTGATGGACAAACATATTTTTAATCTTAACATGCAAGAACCTATTTGGTGAGCACAAAGCAACTTAAAATTAATTATTTTCTACTTTTATCACACTATCCTTTTTCCACAAAAACTACATAATGTAGAAACTAGAATCGACATACTGTAGTTCCCATTACAGATTAGAGCTCAAAAGAATAGTCGTGAATAGTGTATGGCATAAGATAATTAACTTGATTTACCATGCCATGAGGAACATTCTGTAATTAACATCTAAGAAATTTTTGTAAATTTCTGAAGAAACCTGATAAGGAAGACCTAATTTTGGTGAATATTAATGGGTGGGGAACTCAGCTACATCATTCATTTAAAAAGATGTGTTTGAAGTGCTCTACCTGTTCTGTTCAAAATCCCTCATGTAGGATTTGTAAGACAGGAATTTAGAATTACTGGAACTGACACCTCTAATCACCCAGGTCTGTGTTTCCCAACTACCGGTCCATCACAACCACCTTGCTGGTCCATGGGATTTCACAAGAACAAAAACTTTCAGAATGTTCTTATGTAAATCGTAAACATATTTTGTTTTTCTTGCATTTTAATGGTCTGTGACAGTTTAGGAAAACAGCAAACCAGTCCCTGGCATCAGTATAGTTGAAAAACACTGTATTTTTCTGGTCATTGATAGGTCAGTATCAAATATCTAAGTGAAATTTTGTATTTGCACCATCAAGCAGAAAATAGGTAAATCATCTTTGCTTTTATGGAGAAGTAACTTTTAAGCAAATACTAATCAACTTGTTTGTTTAGGGGATGATTAGTAGTAGTGCATTCGTGAGAGTTTTACAATAAAAGTTGATTTGAAGGAGCTCACCATGTTAAGTATCTTGTTACTTGATCTGTAGTAACTTCTATATTAATATTCCATAGTAGAAACAACAATTTATAATGAATATGCATACAATATAAAAAATATTGAATAAAATCTTGCCTAATTATATCAGCATTATCACAACTATACAAAAGGTATAAGAGAACAGGGACATCTTATGCAATACTAATTAGGCTTCAAACTATATAATTAATGGCATCAATTTCTTTAAAAAAATTCAAATATATCCTTGTCAGAGAATTGTTGGTTCTGTAAATCTGATATTCTAAACTGTACATTGTACATTGACATTTTAAAAAACAACACATGGGATAACCACATAAACAAAAGAATGGTAATCAACCAATTCAGTACTTAATATGTAGATGTTGAAAAATGCACAAGAAACATAAAATCGAAAGTCAGTTCTACCCTCCCAAGAAAAGAAAAAAAATGTACTTGTTACACTATAGTTTTTGTTCAAGAATTGAGTCGTAAAATTATCTTGATGTTTTGACACAGCAGAAGAGAGTGAGTCGTAATATTATCTTGAAGTTTTGCCACCTGTGACAAATGTTTGGCATTCTAACTGTAACCCATTTGCAAAACTTCAAAACAAACTGAAGTCTTCACTTCCATTGGGTGGAAAGCAATTAACTTCTATAATGTTTTGTCACAGCAGAAGAGAGTGAGTCGTAACATTATCTTGGTGTTTTGTCACAGTAGAAGAGAGTGAGTCGTAACATTATCTTGTGTTTTGTCACAGTAGAAGAGAGTGAGTCGTAACATTATCTTGGCATTTTGTCACAGTAGAAGAAAATGAGTCGTAAAATTATCTTGGAGTTTTGTCACAGCAGAAGAAAATGAGTCGTAAAATTATCTTGGTGTTTTGTCACAGCAGAAGAAAAACCAAGATAATGTTATGACTTATTTTCTTCTACTGTGACAAAACACCAAGATAATATTATGACTCACTCTCTTCTGCTATGACAAAACACCAAGATAATGTTACGACTCACTCTCTTCTGCTGTGACAAAACACCAAGATGATATTATAACTCGTATTTTGTGCTGTGACTGATATTTAAAGTTTCAACAAAACTTTGTGCTGCACTTCTAATAGAACATTGTTTTTTTAAATCACCAACCATGGCTATCTTTTATAGAAGCTGGTTATTCATCATAAACAAAACTGTTATATTTCTTGGTGAAAGGTGTTTAATGCCTCTGTATGGTCAGTTATCAAGCCATAAAGACTGTCCAGCACAGAACAAATTCTCTAAGCAAAATGATGTAGAGTAGCCTTTCCTTCCTCGTGTAGGTTACATAGCTTCAACTGAGATTTACAAACTTGTGGGTGTGTGTGTGTTCACAAATTATTTCCTTGCCTCAATTATATACAGTAATTTTAAGAAAGGGTACTTATAGAAAAGCTATAACACCATGACGTTCCAATTGTGAAGAATGTGATACTTGTGTTTCATGGGGTATGGATACTGTAAGTCAGTGCACTCTTATTTCCACATAATTGAATAACAATAGATGTTATCATCATTTTGGGTTATGTTGTGCATTTTTAAAGAGATCATTTCAAGTAATAGACACAGCACTCTATACACATGAAAATAGAAAGACAAATCACCACAATCATAACATGGTCATACATTTTTGGTGGATGATTTGAAAGTCTTAAATACGATGAAACACATGTTTTTAAGTGTTGATTCTAAATCTTATGAGTATCATGTGTTTAATCTTATTTCAACCAACCTGTATGATTATTCTGAAAAGTACGACACGAAAACAGTTTGACTGAGTGAAGGTTGTTTGTGCTTGTATATTGTCATAGAGAAATGATTTTTTCATATGATATTTTAATACGTTTGTAATGTCTGCTGTCATATCCTACATTCATAGATATATAATGGTATAAAATATTTTTTGCTTTTATTTCTTGCAGGCTAAAAAAGTTCCAGGATGTTTGATTCACCTGGGTGATCGACCTATACAAATCACACTGCAGAGGGCATTAGCTTCCCTGTCATTGTGGCAAAAGCTACGAGTTGCATGGTATATGCTTACTAGTAAAGATCCAATCAGGTATTATAAACTAAAACTAAGAAATAATTGAAATTGCAGCTCAAGCAAACTTTGAATTAACTCATTAGAAGTATTCACTTTTCTATCGGTAGTAATTTCTCTTACATTTTTTAATGGAATTTTTACCACATTTATTTGATGATTAGATTGCACACCATTCAGTTGGGATTTTGTATTTTATATTTAGTGCATCATGGCATGTAGAATTGTGTAATATATTTAACTTCCCCTTCATTTTCCATTTAAACTTGATCAGACTTTAAGGAATGTTTTATACAAGCTGAGGTACTCATCCTTTGTCCAGGTTATAAATGTGGAGATAGGTGCTATGATAGATAATGCGAAAATCCTAACTTTCACACAGTTTATTTATCACATAACATATCATTACAGTATTCATTATTACCTCAACAAAAGTTTTATATAAGCTTTAATAACTCAATATGTATATACTTAAAACATGGTATACACTGCGATGGTCATGATGACTTTGTATGGAGAGGTAGCGGCCAAAGTAGTTGCAGCCTGGGTGCTTTCTCTTACCCGCTTTCAACACCCAGCTCTTAATGTCATTCCACAGTGTTTCACATGATTAATGAATTGATGGTCATTGGCTGGAGAAGTGTCTTATGGGTCAAAGTAGGAAGTGGGTATAACTCAAGAAACTGATCTTCATATCAGTCTTATGATGGCTGTTGGAGTAGAAACTTCGTCTGAGTTTATGTATTATTGCAATAGAATTTTTTTTCCTTGCACTCCTCCGTAGAGAGTGCTAGTGCACTCTTTCAAATATGCAAGATGTTTTGTCGTACCCCCCCCCCCCCCACACACACACTGTGTGTTTTGTGTTTGTTGTGTTATAGAAAATTTAATATTTGTTTTGATGTAAGGATGTGATGTCTTATATGAATGTAGTTAGTTAACTTGTGTCAAAGATAAAAAATACTCAATAACAACAATAATGGGATGTATAGGGAGTTGTGAACTCCCCCATTAACATACCCCTTGTTCCAAACTATCATCTCACAAAGTTTGTTTGGGATTGGCCCAGCGACCTTGGAGTAGTTTGATAACAGACAGACACACAGATTTTTGTGCTACATATATATATATATATACTAGTTTCAACCAGCAGAAACTACTGATCACAACTAACAAACTACTTGCTACAAGTTGTTTATAACCGAAAGTACTTTGTTTTTTAGTACTCTTATCATGTTGTAAAGTTACTTTATTCTGTAGTCATAGATGTTAGGAACAAAATGTGTGAGTATATGTGGAGGAGCAATGTTGACAGAACTGTACGTCTCATTAGCTAGCATAAACTAGACTGGATTGGGGACAAGTCATTCTTGGAAATTTCTGTGAAAATACAAAGTTCAATGACTAACTTTTATGACCTTCTATTTTCCCCTTTTCTCTTTATCTTAGATATTCAATTCCCTTACCTCCAGCTACAGAATTCATTCTAGAATCTATATCTGTTTATAGTGAGCCAATATTTTGGACCAAAAATGCTGGTCTTCCTGTATGGGAGATGGGAGCCCTGTTCTGATGGTAGTAACATTCATGTTGTACAGATGTGTTCATTCTGAAGTAACATTATTCATGTTACAAAGTGATGTTGTTTCGTAGTAACAACTTGACTTTACTTTCTGTAGCAAGGAAGAAGTGGAAAGATGTAAGCAGAAAGACCTTCTTGAAGAGATGCTGGCAGAAATGTCAGGAGAGTTTCCTGCATTGAGTACCGTTTTTGTCAAGGAAAGAGATACTTATCTAGCGTATTCCCTCCGCCTTGCTGCTACTCCACTTCGAGACTCATCATCTCCTAATGGTGGGAAAAAGTCTTATAATTTCTAATTTTGGATTGGTGTATATTTTATATACTAGTTGAAAACTTAACTTTGTCATTTTTATATGAGATAGACAACTTCTGACCAAATGTGCAAATTTATCTTAGTAACATTAGGAAGTGGTTGTTTGTAGAATACTGTGAATTTTTGAACTTCTGTGATTTGGGCTACTTATTGTCATGCTGAGATGGTCAGAGTATTGTCCTTTCATGATCATTTGTCTTGAGATGTGTGATTTTATGTAATTGTGAGGTTGAAGCATTATGGATGACTTTATATGTTCCATATGTCTAAAAGTTGTTTAAACCTTCTAAATTATGATCAAGTTGATGTGAATGAATGACTTTTATGCAAGAAGTCTCTTTGAATTTCATAGGCCAATATTTCTATAGTTATGAGATTAATGAGTGACTGAGTGAAGTTATAGTTTACTGCTTGAATAGTATTTCCTCTGTAATAAAGTGTGAAAATACATTTCATAATAAGTGTTATAATGAACAAAGTCACAGTTCACTACTCGGATTGAACCCTGTAATGGTGTGAACGTACATTTATTTATTTATTTTTTGTAGGTGTGATACCTTCAACAGTTGTAGGAGTGGTGGGCATTGGACATGTTCCTGGCATCATCCAAAACTGGGGCAATGTGGCTGATGCTGATGTTGCTTGTCTTCTTACGTAAGTGGATTTATTATCTTCAAATTATGTGTTTAATATAATAGTAACTAAGTACTGCAGTAACATAAATGTTCAGTTTGATATTTTTTAGTCATTCCAATGAGTGTATGAGTCAAATGCTGGTAAAGATAAAGTGAGCATAACTATGCAGTCAAACACACAAAGTAGCAGTAAGATAATTCCCTTGTCCTATAGCAGGTTTCAGTAAGTTGTAACTGTGAGTGAATGTAGTTTTTTTGACAGTAACTTTAGAATTTTATTCATATTTTTCACTTTAGCTGATTATTAATATGAATTGAAAAATTTTCTTCAAAAGGTTATTTTGGATCAATTTTATCTCATATACAGGATCTGTAGAGTCAGGTGTAGACAGTTGAAACTCAACAGTGCAGCATAATCCACCTCTAGGATCAGGTGTACACAGTTGAAACTTAATTCAGCATAATCTACATCTAGGATCAGGTGTAGACAGTTGAAACTTAATTTAGCA